TCCTCTTTTCCCTTTTCATAGGGCCATATAATGTTACTTTTCTCTTGATGCTCTTAAAGTGACAATGTGGAATGGTACCTGGTATTTGCTAACAGGCTACATAGACACCTTTAGAATCTTACACTGTCTGGCTGGGCTCTGTTAGAAGTGTTCCTTTGGATTTTAAGCTGGTAGGCTCAGACTCTAGCCACGTTTCTTCCTACYGATGCAGTTTGCTTGGGTTGAGGAGAGGTCTTTTATATTTCTACTTCCTGGTTTGGATTCCCATAACTTCAGGAGCTACTYGGGTTGAAAAGGATACATTTTGTAATAATCCACATATTAAATACACATTTGGACATGTGAGTTATACTATGACCTTATCGTGAGTTTTGGCAGTATGCCATATTGTCACTTCATATCTTAACATGCATAAATGAAACCATTGATAATAGTTTATTTAATAAGCCTAAGATAGTATTACATACCCTGTTCTTTGTGTGTACTGACACAGAYGGCTTGAAGTTTCTCTGGTTGTGTTATTTAATAAGGGCCAATATTTTATTTTAAAAAACCCTGCTTATCTGTGCCTGGCCTTTTAAGATTTGTTTATTAAAACACATAAAAAGCATGAAGAAACAAGTGGAAAATACAGGACCTGCACTTTGCCTTTTGGTACCTGGGAGTAATCTAGGTAGCTTTGCTCAAAGTTTGATCACAATGAAAAGGTACTTTGTATMTGCTGTTATTTTCCTTTGTGGGTGTCTGTGTAATACAAGTCTATCATGACCTGGTGATTCTATAACTTGAAGCTTTCTCTAATACATCTCCTGCCCATGATATATCATTCATATAATCTCTCTATATGCTTTTTTCCTGCATTATTTACTACTCCTGTAGCTCCCAATCTGTTCCTCTTTCTGCTGTCTAGGACTCATTTCCTTACTCTTTTTGACATGTATTAGATTATTTTAAAAATTATACTTTCAGGGAAAATCCAGATGTTGGATTCCTTCTTACTCAGCTTGGGATTCCTGGTAATAGAAAAAAATGTAAAGTTCTCAATTCAACACGAGGTAAGTTGCAGATAACAAAATGGGCAGCAGCTGCTTTCAGAAAGCTTGGAGGAAGTTGCGTGTGTAGGCCTCTATGTTGTTCCTTCTCCCCAAACGCCTTCTTCCATTCCAAAAAGGCTCTGAAGACTCTGAACTACATTTTGCATGGTGTGTCTCCTGCAGAGMGAAGAAAGTTCCCTTTGTCGGAAGGCACGTGTCATCTTATGTAAGTGACCTTGTAYTTGGTTATGTGATTTCTCAAAGTCTCTCCTTGTACTACTTTGTTCCCCTTAGACCAAATTACTTCATTCCTCCCTTTAGTAAGTGCTTTGTGTACCTAATAGATATCAGCACTGTGCTAGGCAGTGAAAGATGGAGGGAAAAGAGTAGATGTTGCTAGACTCTTCTTGTTTCCTAGTACAGGGATTTTTTCTTTCTTTCTTTACTTTGTTGCATTGAACTTTGAGACAAAATGCTTTCTTGGGCTATGGATAATTTTTTGACGGTGAACATGACCTACCTTRATGACTCAAGGAAGAGTGTCCAGAACATGGACCTAGAGCCAGGCTGCTTGGTTTTGAGTCATGGTTTTGCCACTTGTGCAAGCTGTGCATGAGCCACAGACGTAACCTTGCTCTACCTCAGTTTACTTGCCTGTGAAATGGAGCGAAAAATAAYTCTGACTAGAGAGTTGTAAAGATTGCATCGGGCAAACCCATTTAAGGTGATTAGCATATTACCTGGTAAAGAGTGAATGCTCCAAGGTTACTTTGCTTCAGCTAAACCAATAGGGTATGAAATTTGTACTCCTTTTCAAGTGATAGATTTTTTTGGTTGATGTTCATTTTTTTGGTGACCCAGTTGCAGTTATATAATTTCTGGGTTGTGAAATATGGAGGTAAGGTTGTAATATATGACACCAAGGAAAGAGTAAAACTACCTTTCTTTGAAATTTGAACCTGAATCCATGGTTTTGTGACCCACTAGGACCATGAAGGTCATCACCATGACATCCCACCATTCATGTGACAAAGCCATGACCCAGGTGTTCACCATAGGGCAGGGTCTGGAAGAGGTGATTGGCRGGTGTGGCGATTCCTGCCTTCATGTTTGCCCATTTAACTAGTCTTTTCAGGATATAGTTTTTCCACTGAATAAAAAATAAACCATTTATATTGAATACATTAATGAAATCGATACCCTTTTTTTAAAAAAAATATATAATTTTTAGTTGGAGATGGACACAATACATTTACTTTGTTTATTTAGTTTGTTTATGTGGTGCCAGGGATTGAACCCAATGCCTCACACATTTTAAGCAAGCTCTCTACCACTGAGCCACAATCCCAGCCCATGAAGTCAGTACTCTTAATGGTATACTTAGGTTTGGACAGTGGCTGACTAATGTTTTCAAGTTTCCAAACTAATCCTAGAAAATCTAGAATGTTCTGGACTCCAGGTCAAAAGGAGAACTTGCAAGCATAAAGAGAACTCTCAGTGGTTCTGACTTAAGGCTTGTATTTAATAGTAACAAATTGGTTCATTTATTATAAGAAATGGAATTAACACAGGGTTCTTAACAAGTCTCTTCTTTAAAACATATTWGTAGACACACACTTAGTCAAAAACTCTAAAATGAATATACCATATGGAAAATTCTAAAATGAATATATAGTAGCTTAATTCCATTATATCTTTTAAGTTGATCATTTTTTGAAAATCGGATCAAACAGCACATCGTATAGACCCAGAGTACTARGTGTCAAATTATGTAAAATGATATAAACCCTCATAGACTGCTGAAGGGATTGATCTTATAACTCCAGAGCTGTATGAGATAAAACCTTAGATCACCAGATTAAAGTAACTTCATAGAGAATGAAATAAATAAAACTTCAAAAAGTGTAGTGGCTCCAAGCTTCACACCCACAAAAATCTCGCATAGATAATTAACATAAACTTGAAGATTTTTCCACAAAAATGTAATATGATCCATGTGAAAATTCTGACGGTTTGAAATTGTTGCAAAAATACAGATCTTGGTCTTAAAATTTGATGCCCATCTGATTAAAAAATAATTTTATCWCTTGCTCTTCATTTCAATAAAATATGTTCTATCTAAATGTTTCAGGAAGAACCTGGCATGGACAATCTTGACTGTGGGTGGTAAGAATTAGTTCAAGTTTTAAATAATTAGAATATTAAATATTGGACACCATTTTAAAAATGAGCATCTTGAATCCATTATGGTCAAATTAAAGATAATTAAGATTCTACTTTTAGTTTGAGAAAATTAAAAACTATTAATAATAAGGAGATATGTATTTACTCACCAGCCAGTTCTGTCAAATTTTGGTATTTTGTCACATCTGCTTCCACTGAAATTCTTTTAGATAAAAGAAATCAGACTCTAAAGTTAAGTCCCCATGTCKATGTCTCCAATTCCATTCCCCTTTCTTTGACTTGAATTTATTTTTTCATTCCCAAGCATATTTTTCTATTTTGTGTATTCCATGAGCAACATACATTATTTTTACAGATTTTAAAAACATTATATAAATTCCATCCCATTGGACACATTCAGTCACAACTCCTTTTTTCTCTTGGGACATTTGAGATTTAAACATATCAATATMTGTAGTTTTAGTTTATCTGTTGTGAAATACCACAATTGATCTTGATATTCTTTTTTTTTGGGGGGGGGGTGGTAACGGGGAATGAACTAAGGGGCACTTGACCACTAAGCCACATCCCCAGCCCAATTTTGTATTTTATTTAGAGACAGGATCTCACCGACTTGCTTAGCACCTCACTGTTGCTGRGGCTGGCTTTGAACTTTCGATCCTCCTGCTCCAGCCTCCTGAGTCACTGGGTTTACAGATATTTTTCTTTTTGTAGCAATATTTTAAGGCTTTTTGATCTAATCTTATTACTATTTTAATATAATTAAAATATAAAACACATAATTTTTAAAAAACTGGTGTCTACTGACATATTGTCTGTATTTTTTCTCTTCACAATTCTTAAATGTGATTTAAACGATTTAATTGCTCCAGGAGACATCTTCTTAGAACTGTAAGACACAATGCTAGTCTTCCAAGATGGAATTTCCCCCCATATTTTTAATTGGTGCATTATAATTATACATATTAGTGGGACTCATTGTTACCTATTCATACGTGCTTATGATGTAACTATCATTTGGTCAATATTGTTCCTCAGTATTTTTTTTCTTCCTTCCTCTCCCCCTTCCCTGATTCCCTTTCATCTGCTGATTTGCCTTCAGTTTTCATGAGATTCTCCCTGCCATCCCTGTCTTCCTTTTGTTTTGGTACTCAGATTGAATTCAGGGGTGCTTAACCACTGAGCCACATCCCCAGCCCTTTTAATATTTTGTATTGAGATGGCGTCTCCCTGAGTTGCTTCGGGTCTTGCTAAGTAGCGGAGGCTGGTTTTGAACTCATGATCCTCCTGCCTCAGCCTCCCAAAGGGCTGAGATTACAGGTGTGCGCCACTGCACTCGACCTCTCTGTTCTCCCTTGATTCCACAAATGAAAAAAAAAAAAAATGTGACCCTTGATCTTCTGAGTTTGGCTTAATTCTCTTTATGTGRCTTACTCAAATTCCATCCATTTTCCTGCAAAGGACATAATTTCAATTCTTTCTGGCTGAAGAAAGCTCCACTGGGTGTACATATCCCACATTTTTTCTCCATTCATAGGAGGGAATTTCTCGGAGCAGGTGCTAACTTTGGAACCTGCATGTCCTGCTGCCTGGTGCCCTAATTATCTACATCTGCCCTGTTTTTACTAGATTATGACCAGCAGGTCACTCTCACCGAGGCGCTGTGTAGGATGACAACGAGAACGTCCAGGCGTGACCTTGTCCATCAGTGGTTTGATGATGAGGTCCTTGCTGAAGCTTTCAAGAAAATTAGGGATCGAGAATTTGAGACGGTGAGAAGCCTGGTTACAAAAACTCCTGGTTGGTGGGTATTTATGAAGCCTCTGCTCAGTCCTGTCCTGTGTGGGGGCCTGGATGGAGTTTTCTTTTTCTTCATTATGATTAAGTGGCCGTTCTTAAGTTTCTATTCCGTGTAACAGTGAAATAATTTTGAAGGCGACATGAGGCCAAATGGGGAGGTGAAGATGGGGCTCTAAGACTGGGGACCGAGCTCTGTGAATTGATGTGTCCAAGGACTCGTCCAAGAAACACATGGGAGAGGGGAACAGTTTTCCACAAATCTCAGAGTCAGGGAGAGAATGGGAGAAGGAAAGAAAGAGCACTTGAGCCCTGGAAAGAGCAGCTGTGTCCCTGGGAAGTGTTGATCCAGAGACTAAAGAGCATTATGGGGTGGTTGTGCTGTGAGCCATGCAGCCTGTACCATTTAGAGGAACAGTTATTTTCAGTATCTTTGATACCACCCCAGCTTACTGTGGTCATGTCCTCAAGTAGCACAGAAAAAAGCCCTACGGCTTCATGGTGTATCTGACTGTATCCTAACAGCTAAAGCATCTCCCCTCTCATTTTAATGTTCTTAAAATGAAAGACTCTTAGAAAAAGATAAAAATGCATAATAATAGTTTTCATGTTAATCAGACCTCTCGGGTTCAACCTGCCATGTAATTGGGACTCATACACAATTCAGACTGTATTAAATCAGGACCTCGTATATTTATCTCCTACTCTGAGCTAGTGCCATATACTTAGTAGGTGTTCAGCCAGATTCAGTATGCTCTAAATGGAAAGCTCAGGAGCCGAGGGGCTGTTCTGGACTTGGGCTCTAGTTCCACCACCCTGACTTGCATGATGCAGGTATTTTGGCCAGGTGCATGACTGGTGAAGCCAGAGTGTCCTCCCCTGCAAAAGGGGAATAGACCCTGCCCCACCCCCSCATCAGACTGCTGAGCACTTAATGGGAGAAACTGAAATTACCTGGTATCAATTTCCTTTTGTCATTTCCTCATCTGCAGGGAAATTTGTCTACCATAGGAGAAAAGTAACTACCTTATTTCCAAAATCCTTTCTACCCTGTCAGCTTCTTAATTGAATTGCTTTCGGTTAGAGAAAATTGGCGATGGAAAACACACCCAGAGAAACCCAGAGTTGATTCRTTTGATGGATTTGTGATTGGCTGTGATGCACAGGTGTTAGGAAGATTAGTTCAATATTGTAATCTTGGTTTTTTTTTTTCTTGATTATTCTTCTGACCCAGAGAAGCAGTAGTGCATATGACTTTTGGAGACCTAAGTATTCATTGGCTAAAAACTTAATGCTATGGTGAGGAGTAGCTATTTCCAGAAATGTAGGCTTGGAATATTCTCTTGGTGGTACAAACTGTTGCTAACACAAAATGAGTTCTTGTGAAACCTGGTGACATTCCTGGACCCTGAGTGTTTGGAAGCAAACACTGGCCTCTGCGTGCTGGTTAAAGAAGATATTTTGATTTTTTAAAAAATAAAACTTGCCATTATTTATTTTAAAGGATAGTCGACTCTTTCTCAATCACCTCAACAACAGACTTGGTGAGAAAAGGAGGTAAGATGTTTCTCTGTGTACTGTTTTCTTGACTAATTACTTTCTAGAAATGTCTAACATTTTACAAGAATAGGATCTGTTTCACTTTAGATATAGGATCCAGTTATTAATACAAATCTGTGGTTCACTGATTAGAAATCTAAGATGATCAGATCGCTTATGCCTAGTGGCTCATTTGAGTGTTTAAAAAATTATCTGCCTTTAGCATGTTTTTTGAGTTTGCATATTTATTTTTAGCAAGACATCCTTGAGTGAGTCTGTAGATCTTAGGAAGAGCAAGGTCATACAGACTTGAGGTTCTTGGGGATTCAGATATCATGGACAGTTACATCCTTGATGAGACAAGGGTTGTTAAATTCACCCCTTTCTTTAGGAATCTTTCAGAATAATTTGGCTGAATTACAATACTAGTGAGCTGTCCAGCTTGAGAGTAGATTTCTATTTGCAGGGTTGAAACCCATTACTGTTCTCTCTATGAGGAGACTTAATGGCACACCCTAGTTATAGATGCTTGTTGCAAAACATTTGTAGGTTGTGTGTGGGGTCCATCTGTAATTTTTAATGGTGAGGTGTCTTGCAGGGTCTATTCATTTCCGTGTATTGCTGCTTTTGCTGATGAGCATGAGGTATGTTTGTTTCTCTCAGTGGGCGGGTAAGGGTGGATTGCAAGGAAACCTGTAGTTAGGTTAGATTGCTATTACTCAAAAGGGCTTTATACAAAGGTTGCCGATTTCTCCTAGTGATCTTAACTTTGAAATTATCCATGCTGGACCATGACATGATGCTTGGCCAGTGAGCATAGGGGCTCTCCTGCTACTACTGGGTAAGGGAGTTTTAGGGTCCATACTGTACATATGTCAATTACAGGAACCTTGCCTTATTTTTCCCTATTGATGGGTGACATCCTTTAGGCCTGGACTTTTTCTCCTCTGGTTGATGCCTCCCTTTTTCCTGACCAAGTGAGACCATATTCCTTTTCTCTRCTTTGTCATTGTATAATATTGTACAAACTACTCCTATAAAGAAAGTACCTTTATATCGCAAGTGCTTGACTCTAGCTTTCTTTCTACCTTGTACTTTCTAGCCAAGGTTGATCAGCTGCTTTTCACCCCCTTCTTCAGTCTCTAGAGGAACAAGTTCTTTCATTATACAAGGTCCTTGACCTACAGTGTCTCATTTGCAGGGTGAAACCTTCAGGGGCCTTAGAACCTTGACTCAGCTGCAGATGCCTTAACCCCATCTTTAGATTGTCCTCATTAACAACTTCTTTACATTCAGAGCCTGTGTTCATCTCTTGAGCTGAACTTTGAGCTTGTGAATACCTTACACACTCCTTCTCTCTAGAACAGACATTGTTCGACGGATCCCTGTATCCCACTTTGGCCTGTTTTCCTTTGGTGGTCTGAGGTTTCCTCTCTTCACTTGGGTCTAAGACTTCCAGATTTCCATCAGCTTCAACCAGGCCCTTTGTGCTGGCTTCTGATGGCATACACTGGGAACGGAGGTCTTCATCCAGCTCTGTAGCCATTACAGAGTGGCATGCGTGATGAAAAGATGTCTAAGCAATACCGTTTATTGGAAAAGCAGGCTGTAGAATAGCAAGTYTGCAGTTTGCCCCATCACTGGGGAATAAGAACTTTATATATACAGTTGAACATCCCTAATCCAAAAACCAGAAATGTTTCAGAATTGAAAACTCACAGAATCCATGTGACCTTTTCAAGTGGAAAATTCCACATCCGACTTCACTTGATGCAGTCAAACACGGTGGGTGTCCTAAAAATACTGTATAAAATTGTCAGGAGCTGCCAAGTAGGAAGATAGCCGCCTGTTAGCCTTGAGCGATGAGAATGTGGAGATGTGGCAAGCCAGCCATGGGCTGTGTGTGTGAACTGTGAGCCTTGAGCACACAGGGTGGACTGAACCAACGTTGCCCTCTGTTTGGGCGGGCAATATGTGCATCTTTTTGCTCGCTCTGCCTAGGAGCCCCACACAGCACATGAGATGGGCGTGGCCTTCCTAGATGTCAGTCAACCTGCTGACAGCAAGACATCATGAAGCTAGACTCCACCCCCTGAAACCTGACCCCTTGCCTCATTTGAATGGCTTCTCCCCAATAAAAGGGTTCAGCACGTGCTCCTTGCTCTTTCTTGCCTGCCTTGGGCCCCCCCCCGCCCCCCTGGTGGGAGCTGCAGGTGAGGAGCAGTCACTGAGCCCAAAGAAAAGGTACTTTCTGTATCTGTCTTATATTTAGTCCCCAGATTCACTTGGAGTGACCCTGATGGGTTTAGACGTGTGACATGGCATAAAATGACCTATGTATGAGGTGTATGTGATCTGTAAATGAATTTTGGGTTTAGATTCAGGTTGTTGCCCCAAGAAATCTCTCTACATACATGCAAATGCTCCAAAATACAAAAAGTTACAAAGTGCATTGGGGTTACAAGCATTTTGGATAAGGGCTGCTCAACCTGAACTTCCTGATAACTTGTCTGCAAAACCTGTGGCGGGAACTAGAGAGGACAAAGGCATTGCTAGTAGTGCCTATTGAAAGGGACCAATGGGAAGTTAGGAGGCAGGTGCCACACTATTTGAGTCTTTCTTTTCTAAAGCATATATTATAATTATCAGTTAAAATGAAAATGCTCTGAACTTAAGTCTTTATTCTAGTCGATGGTAGTTAGGTGACACATCACTCTTCAGATTTAATCACATCTCCCTTTCTGAAAGTATCCCYCTCTCTGCTGTATGGATTGTCACTGCTTCACCATAGAACTGACRGCTTCATGATTCTCGCCAGGAAGAATTGTCTAGCTAGGGTCATCCGACATTTAAAATATCTATTAAATGTGCTAAGGACAGGGATTTTATTGGGAATGGCTTGGTCATGTAAAGCCGAGATCTTTGTTTTGCACAAACTAATCAGGAAATGAAGGGGGCCCTAAAGTATTAGGATAGTGCTGTTCTAGGAAAAGCACAAGATTTTTTTTTTTTTAATTAGTACTTTTTTATCTGACCCTATAATATAGTTTTTTTCTGTGTATTACTTTTTTGCCGAAATTCTTACAGATGAGAAAACCAGCAGATGAAAAACTAGAGAAATTTTGGATTGATTTCAACCTCGGAAGTCAGAGAGTAACTTTTTATATACACAATGCTGAGGTAAGGAGGTTTAATCCCCTATTAGACCTACCTGCTTAGTGTATTTGGAAACGGGTTATATGCTCATGAGTTTCATCTGTCTATTTTCCCTAGAGTGCTCTGTGGGATCCAGTAAGAATTTTGAAGGAAGGAGTTGTTAATTTCAGAGTAATAGGTAAGATGATGATAACTCAGAACTCCTCCACATCTAGCTCAGAATTTGTTTATATTTGCAGTATGTGTTAAGACCAGATTTCAGTCATCTCGTGGGCCAGAGGAAAGGCTGTGTGGTACAGTGGAAGGCTCATTGTGCTAAAGGCAAGGTTTAGGGGGCATAGTATCGATGACTTCTTTGCTTTGTGGCTTTGGGATTCAACTGCTTGCCTAGTTTTCTCAACTCATAGTTATGGTTCTCGCCAGATTAAAAGCAGAACTGCCACCAGATGTAGTGGTGCATGCCTGTAATCCCAGTGACTGAGGAGGCTGAGGCAGGAGGATCTTGAGTTCGAGGCTAGCCTCAGCAACTAAGACCCTAAGCAACTTGGTGAAACCCTGTTTCAGCATCTCGGTTGTAATCATACATGATCAGGTTTCCTGAAATGGGTTTTTAAAATACAGAAGGGCTGGGGATATAGCTCAGTGGTAAAGCGGCCCTGGTTTTAATCCCTAGAACCAAAAAAAWWWAAAAAAAAATGCAGAACTACCATGTAACTTTTCCAGAAGATTTTTATCAATATATAGTCCAGTGATTTCACTTTGAGATATATATGCAAAAGAATTGGAAGGAGAATGTTGAACTGTTTATCCATGTTCATAGCCGCATTAYTCACAACAGCTAAAAARTGAAAATAACCCAAATGTTCAGTGAAGAATGAATGGTATCAAATAAAATATCCCATCCGTGCACATGTATACCACGTTATGCAAGGGAAATTCTGACACCTGCCACAACACAGAGGAACCTTGAGGTCATTAGGCCAAGTGACATAAGCCAATTTGAATATGGCAAAGTACTGATCCCAATGTATGAGGGTATTTAATGTAGTCAAATTCAAAGAGACGGCAGATTGGCCCTTGTCAGGGCTGTGGGAAGGGAAAAATGGATAACAGGTGTTCAAAGGGGACCAAGTTTCCATTTTGCAAGATGGAAAAGTTCTGGAGATCCTGTTGTATAACAATGTGCATGTGCTAACTTAAATTAAAAAACACAAATGATTAGGATGAACATTTTATTTTGTGTAGGGTTGTCCTGCCACCCCCAAACCGCCGCCCCCYGCCCCCAGTCACAACTTGGAAAAATGGTTTTGGTACCTGTCTTCCTCTCCCACAGAGTCACAGTAACAACTCATCAATGAGTTCACAGACATCTGTGCCACCCCTTGGGTTTTGATTTCAATCCTTTGACCCCCTGACTTTTCATCCCATCTTGAYAGATGGCATGGAGTAATCTTGCTCAGCATCTCAGCTGTAACCGTACATGATCAGGTTTCCTGAACTGGGTTTTTAAAATACAGAAGGCTACATTTTCATTCATGCTAGGCAAGTGCTCTACCCCTGGAGCCCACCCCAGCCCAAGATTCACATTTGCTGCTTAGCTTCCTGGAAGCCAGGGTGAAAAGTGAAATATGACCTGTGAGCATCTCTAAATTAGATGTTATCATAAATGTTACTCCTAATTTTAGGAGTAACTTATATAGTAAATTTATATAGTAATTGTTAATTTAAGATGTATAAGATGGCATTGATAATAGTAAATAAGGACTTCCTTGGGTTTCTAACTGGGGTAACCCTTAACATTACTTTTCTGACTTTATGCCTCAACTCTGAACTTTGCTCCACTCATTGTTTTCAATAACTAAGTTGCCAAAGTGAATATTCTATACTTTATCAATAGATCATAATACTACTGTGACACTTTGTCAAGATACCATGTGGCACTTTGTAAATACAAAGTGGGTGTTTCCATTTTTTTTATATCTGAGGAAAACAAAGATTAACAGGACTCTGCAAATGAGACTTTGATCTTGTCYACACAGTCCTTCTGGCTGGGGAGTCGGCCAGGTATGTTGGCAGCRTGGTGTGACCTTCGGTATTTCTTCTGACCCGTCCGTGTTTGTGTTGATCCCCAAAGCCCAGCTAGCTAAAAATACATGTATTTTGGCAGATGATGGTTTTGAACCACTCTTGCAGCAGAGTTTTAGAAAGACTCTGCAGTGAGGAGTGGACATCCAGTGAGATCCGAATTTGGGGAAGATTCCCTGACCTTGACTCTAGACCAACACTGCCCCATACATAGAAATAAAATGTGATGCAGGAGCTTCAGAATGGGAGAAACTCTTCACTACCTGCATCTTATATAAGGCATTAGTCTCCCAAAAAGCTAAACACCAAAACAAAACAAATAACCTAATCAATAGATGGGCAAAGGAACTAACAGGCACTTCACAGAAGAAAYACAAATCATTAACAAATATATGAAAAAAATGCTTGACATCTCTAGCAATCAGAGAAATGCAAATTAAAACTACACTGAGATTCTCAGTCTAGTCAGAACGGCAGTTATCAAGAATACAAGCAATAATAAATGTTGGCGAGGATGTGGAAGGGGGAAGGTGAAGGTACTCTCATATTTTGCTGGTGGGACTGAAAATTGGTGCAATCACACTGGAAAACAGTATGGAGATTCCTCAGAAAACTTGGAATGGAACCACCATTTGACCCAGTTATCTTGATCCTCAGCTTATACCCAAAGGACTTAAAATCGGCATACTGCAGTGATGCAACCACATCRATGTTTATAGCAACTCAAATCACAATGGCTAAGTTATAGTACCAACCTAGATGCCCTTCAATAGATGAATGGATAAAGAAAATGTGGTACATACGTATAATGGAACATTACTCAACCTTAAAGAATAATGAAATTATGGCACTTGCCGGTAAATAGATGGAACTGGAGGCTGTCATGATAAGCGAAATAAGCCAATCTCCAAAAACCAAAGGCTGACTGTTCTCTGATGTGTGTGTGGCTACTGGGGTGTTGGGGGAGGAAGGAGTGGAGGTTCACCAGATTGGACGGGGAACTGGGGGAAGGGAGGCAAGATGGAAATGGGAAAGAAAGTAGAATGAGTCAAACATAACTTCCCTATGGTCATATATAAACATACGACCAGTGTGACTCTGCATCATGTACGACCACAAGAATCGGGAATTATACTCCATGTATGTATATATGTCAAAATACATCCCACTGTCATGTACAACTAAACAAAAATGTGAGCCACATATTTGAAATTTTTAGTAGCCACTTGAAAAGTGGATTAACTTCAATACTATTTTAACCCAATGTATTCAAAATATTAATGTGAAATCGATATAAAGAACCTTTGAGCTATTATACGTTGTCCTTCCTGTTCCAAGTCTACTCAGTCTGGCGTGGAGGTCACACTTGCAGAGCGTATCCATTTGCACGAGCTGTGTTTCAAGTTCTCCACCGCCCAGATGGCACGGCTCTAGATCTGTGTCTCTTCCCTCTCTCCATTCTCATCATCACATGGCTGTTAGCTTTATCTGCTCTTTCACAGACTGTACTCCATTCTCTCCTGCTTCCATCTTCTCTGTCCTTACTGCAACTTATGCTTGGACTTTATGAATTTTGATCTGAGCAGTTTTCTCCTCCAAAACCAACTACCACTTGTCAGTGGCATCCTGGTAGGAGAGCCCAGGAGGCTTCCGCCTGAGATGGTCTTCTCACTGATGCCCCCACATCCTCTTTTTAAAAGGAGTKTATTGAAATGAAGGTGGGTCGTTCCATTTTGCATATCATAAACAGGGGACTTCATTTTGCATTTTAGAAATTTGTGGGGTCCCAGAGAGAAATGTTGTGCTTAGTGTTTTTGGAAGTAAAATGCTATCAGATGAACAAAATGCTCTTACAAAAACTTTGGATTTCTTTGGTAAAGTAAGCTGCTTCCTTTTATTGGAAGATCAACCAATCATGTATGTAAATAAAAATTTCAAAGTAATTTAATGACTTTTCGACTCATTGCAGAGAAGTCCAGATAGTTGGCCGATACTCCACAGTGTGATCATTTGTGAATATAAAGTTTTAAGCCCTTTATTATGCTGATGTGCATGGTATACCATATTTTTTTTTGCTAGAAACTGAGAAGATAAAAATACTCATYATTTACCTGAAGCAGCCCATTATTATCAGCAAGAAAGAAGTGATGAAAATAGAAATCCATTTTGATTTGCAGTTCAGCATATCACCAACTTCCGTCCAAGCTTTGGGAGAGGACAAACAGGTGGCAAGTTCCATTCTCTCATTCTTTGAAATTCTTGCAGTGTGTYTTATGTCTCTTCATTTTCTTTCTAGGGTTTTCAGAAATTGGTGTCCTGGTTGGGTTTTTTGACGTGAAGATTTGGTGCAGCAGAAGCCTTGGTCTTTAGAAAGTCATGTGAATTGAGTAGAGAGCTTTGGATTCTGATCTGAGCTCTTCCTTTATAAGTGACATTGTCTTAGCTACATAGAACACGAAGCCTCTTTGTACCTTGAAATGCTCCGTCTGTCTCTTGCTGACAGTAGAAAGCTTTGCTAGGAGACATCACCTCCTCACTGGTTCATGTACCTACCCACTGGACTTCCTGGCTCTTCCTGGGCTCTCAGCTCCTCCTGGCCCCAGGGAGAATCATTAGGAGTGGGATTTCTTAGGGTATTTCCCCARCCACTCAGTCTTGCCCTGTGGAATAGTCTATGCCTCTTCTAGATTGCTGTGGTTTTTYATCTTGTGACTCTAATGCTTCCTACAAATGTACAGGAGCAAGAGCCTTTCTCCATCAGCATCCTAGCCAGTAGGAAGGCAAGACATCTGTGACWAGAGTTCACAAAAATGCATTATATAAAAATGTTGTAGGGATGGCCAGTAGGGCATTAAGAGGCCAGAGGTCTGACGGGAGAAGTCTTGGGCCAACTTCCTTTTAAGTTTGAGCTGTACAGGCAGGCATTTGATATAGGATGGAGTGCTCTGCAAAGAATTTCCAAAGGCCCCGTGAAAAGACGATCTCATGGGAGAAAACGAGAAACGGAATCAATAAAAATTAACCCTTTCATTCTGTTACGTGATGAAGGGGTCCAAGTTTGCCTTTACTTATGGAAAACATCAAAATGTTTCCACATTTTGCAAAATGAGTAAAATGTTTTGGGAGAAGAGTCRGGGTATGTGTGAGATGAAGCCCCTGGACAATGAGCCCCTGTGAGGAAGGGATGGGTTTGGAGGATCCTCTGGTGGGGCCTCCCTGCAGTCTCATCCCTAGAGACTCGACCCCTAAGTGAAGCAGGGATTAGAAGATACCCAGGGCTTGGACTTAGAGAAAGGAGAGGGCATGGTCTTAGTACCTTCTCTGACGCTATAACCGAGTACTACAGACTGGTAATTGGTAGAGAAAAGGTTTCTTTGGCTCCTTGTTCTGGAGGCTGAGGAGTCCAAATTATGTGGCGCTGGTCTCCACCCAGCCTCTAGGGAGGGCCTTCCCCTTGCTTTCTAATATGCTGCAGGGTGTCATCAGGCCAGATAGAGCCAGTGTGCTGGAGAGAACCCCAGTGTTTCTAACACAGCCACTGCTGTGATACCCACTGACCCAAGCCTGGGTCAGTCCATTCATGAGGATGGAGCTCTTATGGTCCCTCCTCCCAGAGGTGTCACACCTCAGCATTGCTGCACGTAGGACCAGGTTTCTAACAAGTGYAACCACAGGCGTCAGGAGAGTGTGGTGGAGAGCAGGGTAATGGTCAGCCAGAGCTGGTCCTGGAGGGAGGGTGGTACAGAAAGCTCCTTCAGGAGAGGGCCAACTGAAGACAAGCTGCTCCTCATTGATCCATGTGCTGTGTTCCAATGTTCCTAGCTTTAAGTTTTCCTTTCAAAGTTTTTTTTCCCCTGTTTATTTTTAAGGCCACTGCTTTTAAAGGTCATGTGGCTTTTGGCTTGCATTTCAGATGTTGCCCGACCAGATGAAAATTTCCTCGGAACTTCCTAGTAAGTTTGAGAAAGCASAGCGTGAGATTCTCCCTAGCCAAGAAAGTGCGATAGGTATTTTGAGAAATAACAACTTTCTGACTCTGAGTTCTCTGACGACGGGAAGGAGTCGCCAAAAACCTGTGGTTATAGAAGTAGAGTCTGGGGGAAGAGCTGCTGCAAGCTTCCCATCATTCCCCACCTGATGGCGCCCCCTGTGGGTTGGCTGGGATGGTAAAGAGCAGATGCTGGGGGCAGGAGGAGGGTCTAAGGGGGCTCTGATCCCATCTCCCTTGAGCTTCTTGCCACGTGCCCACAGAGTGCTCATTTGAGGCCTGAGGTAATACCTTGCTACCCAGTTGTGCGAGAGGATGGTGGAGGAGCAGAGGTGCACATTCCTTGGAGAGCATGTTGGCATCATGCATGGTTATTGTTTTAATTGTCATTTTCTCCACATGAGTAGAACCTGCTGAGGAATCCACCAACCTGGCCGAGCTCATGAGTGCTGGAGATGACCTTCACCTGAATGGCCAGTCTGAGCCTCCCGTGAGTTCGCAGAGCTGGGGATAGGTTCTGATCTGGGTCCAGAAGGAAGCTGGGATGGGTGCCGAGCCTCCTGATGACCAGGCCATTTGCTCCTGGTCAACCATCTCCCGATGCTTTAATGATGCCCTTTATTTTTTTTT